GGACCACTGGATGCCGAGATATTTACAAAAACGATTTTTTGAGCCCCTGAAAAATGGGCCAATCTGCCGAAAGTGTGACTTATGACCTGTTTTGGAGATATCCGGGGTCCTGATTTTATACAGTTGGATAATAGAATAGCGGAAAAAAGGGTTTGCTGTTAATTATATCTCCATAAGATTACAAATGTGTAAAATTCTTAAAGAATCTTCAATTCAAGCATTATATCTAGCGGGAGAGTACAAATTTCAAGGGAATCTTTCTTGGATTAATTCTTTTATGAAATGATTTGGATTGTCATTAAGGAGAAGAACCAAAATTTCTCAAAAATTGCCTGAGGATTTAGAAGAAAAATTAGATGAATTTAAATGATATATTATAAGACTGAGAACACTATATAATTTTGATTTGAATAGTATTTTTAATATGGATGAAACTCCTGTGTGGTTTGACATAGCAGGAAATATAACTGTTAATAATAAGGGTGATAAAACAGTGCATATTCGTACTACTGAAAATGATAAAAATCATTTTACCGTAGTTATAACTTGTTCTGCAGGTAAGAAGTTTTATTTTTTTATTTTTTTATATTTACTTTAATTATTTTATATATCAAATTAATAAGTTCATTGTATTTATTTATAGATGGAACAAAATATCCACCAATATGTATTTTTAAAGGTAAACAACTTCCAAGAGGTGAAGTTATTCCAAAAGGTGTTATTTGTTGATTTCAAGATAAAGGTTGGATGACTTCAGACTTAATGAAGAATTACATTGATTTTTTATTTAAAATTCGAATATCTGAAAATTTGTCAAAAGAACCTGCTATAATGTTGTATGATTCTTTTCGTGATCACTTGGAAGAAAGTGTTAAAGCTAAATTTAAACAACATAATTTTCAATTAGCCGTTATTTCTGAAGGATTAACTAGTATATATCAACCATTAGATGTATCAATAAATAAACCTTTTAAAGATAATTTACGAAAAGAATGGCACGAATAGATATGTAAAGGTGGTTCAGGTGTAACTGAAGAGGTAACTTAAAAAAAGTAAGGATAAGTGAAGTATGTGGATAGGTCAAACAATCTTGGGATGCCATTTCAGATCAAATTATTTTTAATTCATTTAAAAAATGTTCTATTTCAAATTTATTGGATGGTTCAGAGGATAATATGGTCTATGAAGAAATTGATAGATTGATCGCTGAGTATGAAAAAGAAAATTTAGAAGAGTTAGGTGATAATGTTGAAATTGTCTGCAATTAAATAACCAAATAAAATTTCTTACATTCATTTTGATATTGTCAATGAGTTTATTGTCATAGTTCGGCATAATCTCATCACACTCAATTCGAAAAATCCAAAGCTGTTCTTAATACAAAAGAAAATATTAAAAAAATTTAAACTTAAATTAAACAAAAAATAAGTATCTAATTTACCTTTCAGTCCATTTAAGTTCCAAGAAGTTGGTGTCACTAATGTCCTTAAAAAAGAAGAAAAGAAATGTTAAAGCTTAGAACATTTCTTATTTACATTTCTTAATCTATACCCTTTCCCTTTCTAATTTACCTTAATATTAATTAAGTCTGTTCGTCAAAGTTGTCAGGTATTCTCACAATAAGAAAATTGTTTTTTTTGGATTAACTTAAAGGAGAATTGTAAAAAAGTGTTTTTAAAAAAGGCTGAAATAAATGTTTTTAACTTAAAAAAGGATGAAATAAATTAAAAATGTTTCGTGCTTATATAGTTATTTTATTATTATTTGCGAAAAATTTTATTAATTAACGCTAGTGTATAAAAGAGTTTTGCTATGCCAAAATAATTTTTTAAAAAAATTATTTAAAAAAAATAAAATTTTGATATATCATATTATGCAATTTTGTACTGCTTAAATTTAAAGATGTTAGATTTTAGTTTATACAGATATTGCGGCAAAAGTGACAGAGGTGCTTAAATTTGATAGGTACTTAAATTTAAGATTTTACGGTATATAAGCAAAACTTACTATAAATTTACAAAAGAGTTATATCTACATACCTCCTTCAACTTCCATTTTTTGATTATCATCAGACGATTTATTAGGTAATTTACGTTTAGTCATCATAATATAAAAAAAATATGAGCAAAAAAAAAAGCGGAACAACCTTTTTGTTTAAAAGTAGGTGATATATATTAAGAAAATATGAATGAACAAAAAAAGTAGAGCAACTTTTTTGCTCAAAAAAGTAGGTGATAAATATCGAATGAACAAAAAAAAAAGGGCGAGGTTATCATGATATAAATTTGAGATTTTAGTTATTGTAATTATGATTGTAGTATTTAATTGGAAAATATACATGATTTCAATGTCATTGTGTATCTTGTAAAATGCAGGATCAGTTAAAAATATCAGGAGATGGGAAAACTAAAAATTATGATTTCTAGAAGATCAAAAATTAAATTTAATTTATATAAATAATTTGTATTTCATTTAATAATAAAAGTGAATACTAGACACTTTTTTTATATAGAAGATTACTTCAAATCAAATTTTTACAGTTCAAATCTTTATTATCTGTTATTGCGTATTTATAATTCAATTTTTCATAAATTTTATTATAATTTTTTAGGCCATATAAGGAGTGAGGAGAAATTAATCATTTGAAGTATCATTTTGTGTGATACAATGATATGCACTAAACTCAAAAAGTATAGCCATTATAGCTACTATTATCGTTCAGCAATGCAGATTATCGATAATTGCATTAAATTATATAATGTTAATAATATTATTGCATAAGATATTTCCAAATAATCCAATCAAACCTTTTTATTCATATTTGACTGATTACTAAATTTGCGAAAAGACAAGGCAACTCCTTAACATATGATTTTTTGTATATTATTGTACAATTATGAAAAGAAAGTCGTGATTCAATAATAGCAGTCTATAGAATATTATGTAAAGTTACAAAATTTAAGTAAACGAATTTACATTTCAATAGTACCTTTAAATAGAAATTTATAAACTTAAATGCTAAAGGAAGAGAAATTTTTTAAGTGATAAATGGATGAAACATAGTACAGTTTAATGGTTGCTAGAATACTTTCAAAATAATTTTCATGATTAATTGTGAAGGTTATAATTAAAATATTCCAATTGAAATAATACAGTGATGATCTGTTTATTTGCTTATTTAATGATTTAGCATATTTTATTATTTTATGTTTAATTTAAGCAGTAAAGTAAATAGTATATAAAATTTTTTCCAAATAATGAAAGATACATCGTTCGAAAAATAAAAAAATTGAATGTTGTACAGCAATATAATATTAAGCAAAAAATTGAATGTTGTACAGCAATATAATATTAAGCAAAATTGAATGTTGTACAGACATCAATATAACAAAATAGTAATTATGATTTGAAAGATTTACAATTTCATATGAAGTGAGGTGAGCGTAAAAGGAAAGGCGAAATTATTCAATTTCAATGATTTCATAATATGAAGATGAGCCTCATAAACGGTAAGGTGTAGGTGATGAGTGACGGAAAGGTGTAGGTGATGATAATGAGTGTGAACAGAGAGGTGATATAGGTGAGTATATTGGTGAATGTAGTGGTGATGATGACTGAGTTGTTGTATGGCTCATTGTGTTGATTTCATGAGCAATATCATAAATTGTTTCTAAATAAATAATCAGATTAATTTATGAATTAAATAAAAAAATAAAATATTTACGTGATTTTCCAATATTTACGTCATTTTTCCTAAAAACGTTGACTAAATTCCTCATAGTACTTCGCTCCTAGAGCACTTCTCTTTCCCTTTGGCTGACCATCAAGCATTTTCTAATAAAATTATATTAGTACTATTTAATATACTAAAATAGTAGTTGAAAATAATGTTTATATACTTTATAAGCTCGCACTAAGCCGTTAAATTTTTCTTTACATTGCCTCCCCGTATACGTAGTTCTGAATTCAAGGTTTATTTTGCTTGCTAGCCCTTTCCAAAAGTTATGCTTCATATTACCACTAAGTTCGTGAAAATTATCATTTTCATTTTTTCTTTTATTAATTAAAACTTGCAATTGTCTATCAGTCCACATGTTATTAAAGAATTAATGAAATATTAATGAAAACGAAAGAATTAATGAAACAAAAGATTTTGTAAAAGGAGTGGGAAAATAAAAAAAAATCCGTAAAAAAAAAAAAAATCTGTGTAAAAAAAAATCCTTGTAAAAAAATAAAATCAAATTATTACGCCTACAATCTATGAACACAATAAGAAATTGCAATGATGTGGAATAAATAGTTTAAACAAATTTGTTAAACAAATTTGGATAAGCCATGGGTATACCGCGGATGTATCGCAGATGTATCGTGGGTATGTCACAGATGTCTTTATGGTAAATTAAAGCATTTACCGTGGGTGAGTCACGGGTCAATTTGAGGACTTACTATAGAATAATAAAGATGTTTTTATACACGTAATTATCTTTTATGGTGATTGATTTAGAGGTTCAATCGGGAAAGTTTTACTATGACATTTATTTTATTTTGACAATGGCTTAAAATTAACAAAAATTAATTAACAAAAATTGATTTAATTGGTCTGCTAATAACAATTATGGTGTTTAACGAATTTGCTTCATTAGTTTTGATATTCGAAAAATATAATTGTAAATTAAATATATAATTATAAATTAAATTATACTTTATCTATTATTTTATTAAATTGTAAACTTTAATACTCTACTACTAAATTAACTAAATTATTATTTCACAAGAGCATTTTCTATTTATTAAATATAATTTTTAACTACTATTTTTTATAATCCTGCATATGAATTTACAGGTCAAAAACTTTGCAATTCAATTAGTTTAATTTTCGAGTTTTTTGACGGATTCATGAGATTTAAGCAAGTATGAAATAAATTTTTTTTATACTAATTGAATTTTTATGTATTGATTAACGATAAAAAAAAGCATGTACTACTTGATTTTGTATACGATTGTGTTCCAAAACTTGATGATTGTATTACTTTCAAACTCCAATGTGTTACTTGATTTTGTATACGATTGTGTTCCAAAACTTGACGATTGTGTTACTTTCAAAACTCCAATCAGAATCTATAGCAAATCGGTAATAATTTTAACTGAATTGATCTTGGTTTTTTGGTTTTTTGTCAATACGCTAACAATATAAAAGGTATTAAGGTATTTAATAAATAATTTTTATAAAGATTTATTGAATTTTATAAAATTCTAAATTAAGTTAAAGATTTAAATTGTTAAAAGATGAGGAGACAATATAGTCACAACAAACCAATAGAGCTAATTCGAATTTGAAATCAGTTTTCATACAGCAAACCTAATGAGACAACAGATTCTGACGAGAGAGTGGCAATTCGTTCGCCTGTACGTTCACCTGATAATGATAAAGATGACATGGACTTTCAATATGATCATAAAGATGATTTAAGTTTTAAATACATTAATGATGACGATAATGCATATGGATCAATTAATCCTTAAAACTACAATGATGAGATGATATTTTTGCAAGATAATGTTAATTCATCTGATACTGAAGAGAAAAAAGAAAGTGATAACGAATACAATTATGAAAAGGAGAAAGAGAAGGATGAAAATAATGATGAAGAGGACGAAGAGGAAGGTAATAATGATGATAATAATAATCAAGTGAAAGAGGAACGTAATAAAGATGAAAAGGAACATAATAATGAAGAGGAAGAAATACATCAAATCATTGAAGCGTTAGATGAAGACAAAATACCATTCTGCAATGGTCAATTTGCACCGTACTTTAATAATTATACAACTATAGCATTATTTTGCTGGCTTCAGAAGCATAATATTTCTACGAAAGCATATGAAGATCTTGTCGATAATTCACAATTCTCAATTTAAACCTACCCATGTAGTAAAAAATATCTGAAGATTCCAATCATGGAGAAAACGTCTTCCTCTTCTACTAATAATAACAAAGTCTATTAAAATTTCACCAAAAAAAACTCCATCAACCTCATAAGGATCAAAACTTTCGTATCAACTCTCAATTAGTGAAATTATATGGTGTGTTCTTAATAATCCGATGCTAATGAAGCATATGTATTTTGGACCCAGCATTAATTCTAAAGAAAAATCAGAATTTTGGCACAGAAATTTATGGGAGGAATCCCCACTTTTTGGACAACACGAAATATTAATATCAGAAGGTTATAAAATAATACACTTTGATACAATTATAATTTATTATCATTGATAATATTTATTAAAGTTATTTTTAATAAATAGTATTGTACTGATTTGGTGATTTTGTTTACTATCATGATGATAATAGTCAAAAAAAACTTGAAAGATTAAGATCAATTTTAAAAAATGATGATGGATGGATATTATCAGTTACGAATTCAAAAAATTTTGGAATATAGTAATTTACCTGGAAATTTAAAAGGGTTACCAAGACAACATTGTTCTATTACTGGTAAAGTATGATTACAAGACGAACTGTTTTTAATTATAATGACTTCTCAAATTTTAGAAAAGTAACTATATTGATGATGTTTTAACTAAGGTTGCTTGCCGAAACCTAGGGGTTTAGACAAGATGGCGTTTTGCCGAAAAGTGAAATTCTGCTGAAACTATATTAAAGTTATATTAAAAAANTTTTGCCGAAAAGTGAAATTCTGCTGAAACTATATTAAAGTTATATTAAAAAACTGGCGAAACTTTGGAGAAAGGTGAAACTGCCGAAACTTATTATAAATGCCGAAACTGCTGAAACTTTGCTAAAACTATAATAAATCTATAGTAAAATTTTGACGAAACTAATCGTAAGATTTTGAAGAGGTTTAGACAAGCAACCTTAGTTTTAATATTAAAATATTCCTGATGGTTCATTGCGGATTAGTGAAATAATTTATAAATATAATGACCATTGGTACGTTCGTAATGTAAAGCTTTAATACCTACATCCATCTGATTACATTTCTATTAGAAATCCACCATCATCATCTATACCAGTTTATAAGCTGTTTTTAGATCTTTATTATAATGATTTTGATACATTTAGAAATGTATACCATTTTCTAGGTGGTGATTATGTACAGTTTGGAAATATGCCAGCACATTAAAGAAAGCTAATAAAGAACTATTTTGTTATTGGGTTTATTCCATTTGGAGGAAAATTTGACGAATTTATGATACCATTCATTTCAGAAATAAAGGAATTAGAGAAAGGAAAGGTGATGACTGTTCAAAGACAAGATGCATGGATAATTGCTGGTTTAAACATTATTATGGCAGATTTACCTCAAGGTAACGATATGACAGGAGTACTAAGGTATTTTTTCAACTTAGTTAATAATATAATAAGGATAAATCTAATTGTAACAGCCTGTTACGCATCTTATAAGTAACAACCCCAATTTTATCCAATTAAAATTTAAGATCAGGCGTAATGTAAACAAAAACAAAAGATCAGTCGTGTAACTAAGACAAAAGAATTTTTTAAAAAATTTCAAGAAACTACTTATAACTTAAAATTTTGTCTATGAAACTGTCTTAAATACATTAAGTAAAAGTTTTCCAAATTAAATTTTGCATATAAAAATTTTATTTGTGAAACACATATTAAATTTATTATTAAAAAAAAATAAAAAAAGGATGTTACAAATAAGTTATGTAACAGGCTGTTACAAATACATTTTTTCATATAATAATATAATTTTACTATTAAAATTTTTTAAAAAATAAATTTAGACATAATGCAAATAAGGGTTGTCATACTTGTAAAAATACTAAAGAATAATTGAGTGATCACAATCAGGATATCGTAACAACATTACGTTATCATCATATTACAGACGAAGAAATATTAAAAATTTCTAATAAGACTATAATGTCAAGAAGAGATCAACTTTGTACAGAATATGGTTTACGATCATTACCTAGTATTTTAGATAAATTAAAAAGGGAAAGACATTTACAGACGCCGCAGGATGTTTATCATGCGACTGCAAAAAAAATTGGGCATTTACTAAAATTAACTTGTAAATTATTTTCACGAAAAGAAGAAGATAATTTTATCGATATTTGGAAAAATTTTGAAATCCCAAAAAGGTGGTCTAGCTTATCAAATCTGATTACTCACTACAATAATTTTATGATGTCAGATTTTTAAAAGAATCAAGTATCAAACGTAATGAAATAGCCATGATTCAACAAAGAATTAATGCATTTTGAGTTAGTTCAATTCCAAAAATTATTATATCTTGTTGGATATATGTTGCAAAAACTATGAAAGCAGTTTTTAACAAGAAATTTACATTAGATAGCTATGAGGAATTGCAACAATGTCTTGAAGAAGAGTTTTCAATCATTACAAAGATATAGTTACAAATTTGATATTGAAATGTGGAATAATTTCAAATAATTAACAATATTTTACTTTTTATAGGTTTTTGTAAATTTTGTTAATTTACCAAACATACATATTAATATATATGCATCTTTTGATACATGCTAAAACCTTTGGAACACTTATTAATACCCAAGTTGGTATAAAAGAAATGGTCTATCATATTTTTAAGGGAATGGTACCAAAGACTAATTGCAAAAATATAGATTTGGATTTATTAAAGTGTTACAATACTTTATTTGCAATTCGACATTTAGCAGATGGTGGCAGTATTGTCACGGGACAATGTCCAGAACATGTTACACAAAAAAAATGATAAGCTCTCGAAATTTTTCTATGATAACCTTGTTCGATACTAAGCAAAAATGTTTAGCATCCAATTATGCATAAATATATATAATTTTTGTAGGATTTTTTAAGTTACAGAGGAGTACAGACAGAGCACAGTTATGTCTGGAACAACTAAAAAAAGCTGCAGACATCAAAAATGTACAATACAGGATGGTGGTATTGATCCAAGATTTAATAGATCTTGTACTGGATTTACAAATTCAAATTTTGGACAATTATTTTTAAATTGGTATGTTACAGAAGATAAATATTCAACTGAAGCAACTGAACAAGTTTAAGACAATGATGATGATACAAAAAGTAAGTATTTTATTGCATATAGTAGTACATGTTTGATATTTATATTTACTAATCTTTTAATTTAGTAAACTTTATTTCCAATATTTCATTAAAAAAAAGAATGTTAAAGCAGAAACATGATAAACTTCTTTTAACTTTACATAATTTTAAAACTGAATTGTTTTTATCTTATGTGGATATGAAATTTGAGGCGGCACTTATAAACTCTTCAATTAGTTGATACAAATTTGCATCATACATATAGGTTGATTTGTCTACCTTTAATTAAAATATTAATTTTATTACATTTTTATTATACAAAATACTATATAATATACAGTAAATTGGAAATGAGTATTAAAAAATTTTTATTTAATGTTATTATACTATAATTTGGTAAATATTTCTTTTAAATTAATATAATTC